CAAAACAGACTTGTTATAAATAGACTGGGTATGAGGGCAACATATGATTTGTTGGACCCGAAGGTGAAAATGTTGCCCTTGGCCTGTGGCCTTGGGCAACATTTTCACCTTCAGGTCCAACAAATCATGTTGCCCTCATACCCATTCAATAACTGTATAATGTCTACTCTTGGCAGACACAATGTGTAAATTATAATTCATATTATAATACATACTTAGTACATGCACATTTGGTTGAGCTATATCATTGAGGGAGTTTGGTGTCACCCACATGGAAGCAGAAACTCTAAATCAATATCAAATGCCTCAATCTGCAGACAGGTATAAGAAAAGAAATTAAAAATGATTGGACCAGGAATCAAACTCAGGACCCCTGCACCACTAGTCAGGTGCTCTACCAACTGAGCTACCTAGGCTGATATCCAAGATCCCATTACACGTTTTCCATTGTTGCTTTGAGGTTTGCAAATTAAAGATGAAGATGCTACAAAAGTGTTTTTGGCTAACGTAACTTTCCAATGTGAACAAGAGCAGTGCAGAATTAAAAACATTGACTGAATTTGAATTTTATTGCATATACAACAACATATGTACAATCCTTTAAATATACTCTAAAAGATAAAAAAAAGAGTTTAATTGTTCCCCCTCAACAAAACAGAACAATCCATCAGTTTTGAAATCAAGATGGTGTGTCTGTAATTTCTGAACACTAGAATTTTTAAGATTGTTTCTTTGAACTTTGAATGCATTCTCAGATGGTTTAGTATCAATAATGATCGAAGAAAAAGTAGTCATTAGTTATATATCACAAAAACCTCAATGATTAGATAACTTCGGACATTCAGCTCCAAGGAAATTACGAGGTTGGACATATCCATCTTGTTTGTCCCTAAAAGAGAAATATAATGAATTAATAAAAACTTCAAATTAATAGAATACTTATTTAGATTCTTTATAGCTGTACAGAGTATGTATAGCAAAGTCTTCTATGAAATTACATAAGTTTCTTGGAAATTGCAACATCAATGCAAAGTGTGATGGAAGGACAAATGGAGGGACCAAAGATGGTTATGATAAACACTGTCTGCCCCAGTCACTACAGAGTACTGCAGATGATATTCATAACTGTTCTGTCATTATGTGTATGTCATAACTATTCCTTATAAAGCAATATGAGAAAGTACTGAGTTTTAGACCATCAATTTTAACACATTTCTTATTAACTGATTTAATAAAAATAATAAAACAAATATAGCCTTTTGATTTGGTTCAATCCTTAGATATATTTTATTTTGTTTGTGTTTAACATCCCTCTCAAGAAATTTTCAAACATATGGAGATGCAAGCACTTGCCTGTGGAGACCTGCAAATTTTGACCTATGCTCGGGACTCAGGGCCATTGAGCAGGGAAACCCTCAACATAAGGATCAACTCCTTATGCCGCAACTCTAAAGCAGACACTCTAACCAAAGCACCACACAGGCGATCCCTAGATATAGAGAACTTAGACAAAGCAAACTGACCTTGCACTTTGTGTTTGGTGGAAATGCTTTTTCTAAGGTCTATATATCCTGGGACTGACCTCATCAAAAGGATATATTTGTAAAGTATTCAGTCTATATACTAATCCCTGGAATATATATACCCCCACATGTATGATGCATAAATACATGTTATACTTACACATGATATTTGAGGTAATTACAGACTTCATTAATTTGTTGCTGTGTAATTTCTCCATCAATCTGTGCTAGGTAGGTGTAGAGATCCTTAAATAATGGGAAGGGGATTCTAGAGGGGCCGCCCTCGGGATCGGCTGTTAAAATCTCGCAGATTGTCTTCATGGCATCTGTAATGTTCTGAAAATGAAAGGTTAATGATTGAAAACATTTTTTAAGGAATTATTGTCCCTGACTTAAATCATAAATCTAGCTGTTATAATCATGTATATTATTTGTTCTAAGAATTAAATACTGTGACTTTTTGAACATAATTGAATTAATCTAAAGATTCTTTAGTTTTACATAAAATGCCTATCATCAGTAAAAAATTTTTTTTAAAAATGATTTAACATTTTATGTAGAGAGAACTTCAAGTAATGGACTAGCTAGACCACACCTTGATTAACACACTCTAGCTATAAAAGTAGGTACAAGACAATTACAAACTTGTCACTCAGGTATTCTTACCTCTCCTAGTGCTGAAGCACAGAGGGCAAAAAATTTATTCCATTCAACCTCTCCCCCAAAACTCCCTATCCTGACCAGGTCGTCAAATTGTTCTTTGGGGAGAGCTAAATCTGCCCACTTCTCCTCGATTAAGCTTAATGATACTGTATTCTTTGGACCAAGCTGCAGATATCAACAAAATTGGTTAAATTTGATATTTACAGAAACATTACCATATCCTATTTAGTTTATTTATACTATGATATGACTGTAAATTTTGTCAACTTGAAAGAAAATTGCTTAGATTTTAATATATTGTAAATTTATGTTGTTTCACAAGTTTTTTTTTTTCCTTTCAGATTTATAACATCATTCTTAAGTATATGTACATTGAAAAAATAATCATGAGTTCAATTCCATAATAAACACCTTTGTTGATATGTCATTCTGTGATTGTTAGTTTTCAAACACTTGTTTCATTTATAATAATGACATATTGTGTGATTGTGTCCTCTCAATTGTTTCCAAGAATGTTTCAGGACATGAGTTAAACACAGGCATTTATCAGTGAAAACAATCTGTGAACACTCGCAAATTATGTCTGTGATAAGTTTTTGAAGAAAAAACATTTCATATGTGGTAAATGAATACAAATGGCCAACCTTGGAGTCTACGAAAAAATGTTCCACCTATATCATCAAATTGGAATTAAATCATGATTAGGAGGGATGGAATAATGGAAAAGGAGTAATTTATTTTGCTAGTCAATAAATGCATTAATTTGTTGTGCTCAAGATTAACTTTAACATAAATCATCAATTTAATGTTTGAATTATAAGGCCAAACATATTAAAATGATACAATACATGTTCAGGAATCTGACAGATGCAATTGAAATTTCATGGAATAAGCTCAGAAATTAATAATCAAGAACAATATTAATACATGGATATCACGAATACTGAGGAAAATGAAATCATAACTACATGTAGATGTATTAACTTTGTATATATTTTCCTTCTGAACTGTTCCATACCTGCTTATTTAGCACCCTCAAAAGACCTGGGGTAAGACCTGTATCTGTTTTCTGTGTGGCCACAGGCATTTCAAGTCTCTCTTTCACAGGGGGTGTCTCTCCTTTTGCCATGTCTTTAAAATAGCTATAAAATATAAACAAATATCTCGTCATTCATAATGTTATTCTTCAAGTAGGTATCCATATGCACACTTCTATGAGAGTATTCAACAAAAAATTGAGAGGGGAAGTAGAGGGACTTACATGTAACAGTATATCTTTCAATATTTTACAAAACTGGCGAAGTATCTGCCTCATCGACTTCCAACATCAATATTACTTTTGTATGTATTTAAATCAGACTTGCTTGATTTGACTTTGTGTTTAATACAGTACTTATTTTTAATTCTGAAATAACTTACGCAGCAGACCATGCCAAGACATCTTTTGGTTGAGTGCGGATTGCCGCTTTTGTGAATTGTTTCAGAATATCCGGTAATGATGGTGGGATATTTATTTGCTGCGAGCAGTAGTAGGGCTCGTCTGGATTGGTAGGCATTATTAAGTCTGAAATTAAGATATCAATGGTAAATGTATAATTATATACTTTCAGACAGTTTAATATACATCCTATCTATAGTCAGGTATCCAAATTTACTGACGCACCCTTAATTAAGGAATGACTCTAATTCTTGGCCAGATTATCGAGTATAATATGGTTTGGGTCAGTTTACGCTTTATAATCCGCGAAGCGGATTATAAAAAAGCGTAAACTTACCCAAACCATATTATACTCGATAATTTGGCCAAGAATTAGAGTAATTACTTATAATTTAATTTTAAAATAATTATTCAACTGGGGATGTAAAATTGTGTTGTTTTTATGAGTTCAAATTTACCGCGCAATAATACAACCGTAGTAACGGAAGTGATGTTAAGCGAGGGGAGGTAAAAACTGATACATAGATCTAGCAGCCATGATGCTTGTTTACACGAGGTAAGATCGAGTAACTGTTTGAAATTAAAGGTACATTCATTAAATCTGGAATTTTCCATGAATCCCAAGGACTGGAAATGAGGGGATTGATGGAAACAGATGATTATGCTGGTTGTCAAGGGGGTGTGTCCCCATACCAAACCAGATTATACAAAATGTTATGCGTTCCTTTTTGGAAATCAACCAATGAGAGGCAAGAATACAAGCAAAATTAAATTATTGGGTAAGAGAAAGAGATACAAGTCATAATAAACATGATAAGGACACAAGCTTAATAGTCAGTCTGTATTATAATCACTTATCAATTCATTTTAAACTAATTCATTTTCGTTCTTCAATCAAAATTTTGCAAATTAATCCTTTGTGCTTCATTCAAAAAATGTTTTGGACACTTCAAATAAACATTGATTTTGTAAAGAGGGGTGCATTCAAGAAGACAAGTAAGATGACAATCTTGAAGCAAAAATAAATCAAGAAATGTCTTAACCAAATCAACATTCAGCAAAAGAGAAATGACACGGGTATCAACAGCAACAAATATCTTGTGAGATTCAAGCACTGATCAATGCGATTTTCTAACTTTTTGCCACTCTACATAAGTATAAACAAGCGATAAAATCCATTTGCGGATCAATATATCATAAAAATCAAAACATTAACGTTTAAATACTCACTTTATGTTTGATAAAGGAAAATCACAGCTTCCGTCAATTTTTTTTCAAAAATACAGTTGCAACCGGAAGTAGGTTATGTTGTTGATAGCAACGACATGCGCATGGTAAATCTTCGTCACTAAAGCGCTTAAAAGTGAGGATCACGTGACATTTTGTTGGTCAACACTGCGTTGTGGTCGTCTGCTGACAAGAAACTGAAAAGAAAGAACCGATTTTACAGACTTAAAGAAGTAGTACATACGAAGGTGCAAGTGTTTATAAGGTATAGACAGTTCTTCTGTCAAATACTGAGCTCTTTCAGTTTCTTTAAAAATATTGATGAAATCAAATGTATGTTCAAGTAACATGTTTTCCATATCCAGCAATCTTTTCCACTAAACGTCTAAAGTTTGAGTTATAAACAAGCAGTTCTAAATAGCTTGAATTTCAGAGCAGTTTTCACATGTTTTTTGTGTGATATAGACGTGGGGTCCGACCATCTCAAACTTGTGGCATGTAGATCTATTTGTACTGTGGTAGATGGATTCCTATTTTCAAAAAAAGTTGGCTCAAAATATAGGCCTAGTAACAATTTACATTATCACATGCCGATGGATTTCTCTTTAATTGGAATGAAATGCTTTGCATCCTTCACAGTACAATACATTCCATATAATTTTGTTCAGTAGACATTACGGTTCTTTCCAATTGGGATACATTTTGTGTTTGTTTTCATTTGCTACGTTTAGTCAATTAACATTTTACATGCTGATTGACAAGAGGAAGTTGATTAGAATGTGTTGACTATTGAAGATTATTTTACGAACTATCAGTCCTCAAAAGTATACAGTAGATATTTTTCAAACTATCAGTCCTCAAAAGTTTACGTTTACTGTTTTTAGAACTTAATTATGCAGAGTAACATGTTTTTACCTATGCTAAATCTATCTGAATAACAATCCAGACTGAAAGATGAACCGAACCTAAAGACAGAAGTGAAAATTGTAGCACCCTGTATCAAACCAAGAAAAAATACTGTGGTGAATCGTGGTTAACCGTTTCAGTCTTACCAGTACTCATTGTGAAATGTATGCATTGAAGCCTTAATTTAAAATAGTATGATTTAATAGTTTTAACCATGCATGCTGAATTATTACCAGTCAGTTACTAGCTAGGTTATCTAGCTCATGGATCAACCAGTCTATGCGAAAGTCACCAGACCGTCGGTTTTTACCGTTAAAATTTAGGTCGGGTCGGACTCGGTAAAAAATTTCAGTATACTGTGAGGACCAAATGTCCGATAAAAAAGAAGGCCAAATAAATCTAAATTAAGAGGTCAAATTCCCCACAAATATCCTTTATTTGACCAATTTAGCAGTAATACCTGAGTAATTTTCATGTATTACAACCCTGTCATGATCGTTTTTATTCTAATTCGAATTTCCTCTGTCAAGGATTAGAGATCTTTAGATAACTCATCCGTAGATTTGGTTTGGAAAATATTTAGATAGCACATGCGTACATGTAGATTTGGTTGGGAAATTATTTTCAAATGATTATTGAACTTGAGTAACCATAATGAATTGTTTCAGGAAAAATAAATATGCATTGAAAGTGTATATTAAATTTAACGAAATCTTTGTTACACACCCATTCTCAATATAAGAGCACAAATGCCTATCTGATTTAAAAAAAAATAAAGTTCAAGATAACAATTTTTCTATCAATTACCTTTGAAAGAAAGTATCTGAAGATTTTGTTACAAGATTTTTTTTCATCAAATTTAAATACATGAAATAATGACAAGACGGTAAAGTAGAGGGTGATTTCATTCAGAAATGTAGCTGGAAATGTACGTTACTCTTTCTGCAATGTCCAAAAAGATATGTCCAAAAAAAATGTAGTCATTAAAATCACAATTGGAATATCTCATCTTAACACCAGCACATCCTACCAACTCTGTCAGCAACATATTCTCTCGGCATACGAACATGCGTTTGATTTTTCCTTTCAAAAAACAAAGGTTACTTTTTGATCCAGATGTATAGAAATTTTTTATAATGTATGCTTTAAATTCTTCTCTCTGTTTTGATTAGAGCGATCAGTTTGGAATTTTGTCATTTTCTATAGATACTGGAACTTAACATGTACATTTAGTAAAATTCTATTTTGTAGTTACTGTCCTTTTTAACATATATCCATGTCGATTTAGAAAACTACGTAAATATAACGTACATTTCATTATTTATTTCTGTTTGATAAAAAGCTTAAAATTCATCGAACATTTCATCGTTTTGCGTCAGTTTATTCCAAAATAGATTCTGTATGTAATCACATTGTGTTATTTGTCACAATCACCACTATAAAGACACGGTTGCCTCAGAATATGAGTAGGTAATGTACATTTCAAACTTGTAATAATATGTAAGTAAATATTGAAAAAAAGCAATTATTGACATAAAATCATTTCAATGAAGCGTTTTAAAGCAGTAATATAAGAAATCATAATGTAACAAACGAGGTTATTTGTCATTAACTACATGAATGTCACGTCACTTCGGTAACGTTCATTTCACATATTATTGGGGAGTCCCCTCCACCTCAGTTCAACCATTCTTTTGTGCTGTTTCGCTGAAATTGACACCATTGCCTAGTTAGTTCTACCTGTGGGCAAGGGTACAGACAAAAACAAATAAGAGTAAGACATATTTTGCTAGGATCCAACAAATGTTCGTGTTTGGCCATTGAAACTTAACATAAATGATCAAAATCTATTCCGAATATATCCATCCACAGTCTTGTTAACAATTTCATTAGTATGCTGCAACATCGTTTGTCAAAACACAAACATACGTGCTTTTCAGCAGATCTGGAAAAATATAACCCAAAATGCAATGATTCAAACAAAACTGAGTATTGTGTACCTTTCAGTATTTGAAATGTACGTGACCGTCTTGTGTTTTTTTTTTGTTGTTTTTTTTTTTTTTTTTTTTTACCAATTATAAGCCTGTGCATACCTTGTTTTAAATTATCAACAACAATTAAATGAATATTGACGAAAAGTCGCATATTAAAAGTAAACAAACTGCAAAAAGGTTGCCAAAGATGAATTAAGATGCTTAGAAATAAACTTTCTAGCACGTGGTAAAAGTCTACCACATTTACGAGGAATGGAGTGCAATGGCTTTATGTGGTCAGTTGTTAAATGGATTGTAACGATAATTTTGTTTCGCTCGTATAAACGCAATTCATTGACTAAACTTAAAAGAAAATGTCAGTTAGAAGTACGCAAAATGTACGTTACCATACGTAACGTACATTTCAAATATAAAAATCAATTCTCCTCCACAAGCGTACGTTACACACGCAATATATTGATATTATTTGAACTTGCATATCATAAGAAATGCATCATACAGGTTTCGTATTCAGAAATACATATCAGGTATCTAAATTATATCACATATAAATGACCTTAATATAATTTTTTTCCTCAGCAGAAAGGTTTCTTTTCATTAATTTTTGGGATTTAGCCGACCTCCAACCTTTGAAACTTTCCTTTGTGTACACATTCGAGTGTGTGAAAGTATGAGAATACATGAAGATTCGTGCGAGATTCGCTGAATTCGAATTTCATGGTAACGTACGTTTCAGTCACGTACATTTCGAATGACTACTTTTCATGTAAAAAATAACTTTTAATTGTGTTAAGCAAAACGTCTTTGCCAGTTTACAGGGTACAAGGGGTTGATTACTCAGGGGTGTCTCATATTTTCTACTTAATATATATTCTTAACGGAAGGATATAGGTAACGTACATTTCTTTCTTATCTCTACGATTGAAAATGTCTTTTATTCCGTAAACATAGTTATAAAAGTTGCTCAAATTGTTCAATTTCATGTTACATTATCTAAGTATGAGTAAATAATCCTTTGAAATTTCAAATTTAGCCCATCAATAAATAAAGGAGAAAAGAACTATCAGTTGTATAATCTTTGTCTTTGCTTGTAAATTGGTTGGAATAGAATTAAGCGACAGGGACATTGCACAATAAAAATGATTTATTATCACAAAGAAAATGTATTTATTGTTATAAAAAGAAATGTATATGATACAAGGTTTAACTTATCAGAAAATTTTTACTTGAGAATCAAAACTGCATATTACACAGAGGGGATTCAGCATAATATTTGCCTCGGCGACAGTAACGTACATTTCAAATACGCTACTATAGTTGAATTTGGAACTTTTTAAATACCCTTTCAGATCGATAATTATATGAATTCTTATTCATTATTATATGACTATTTATAATGTTGATTTGAAAATTACATCAGTGGTATGTCTTCTAAATGAAAATGAGGCGACATTATTTGAGCCCTTAAATTGAGAATGGGTGTACAGTGTCTTGTGTATAAGTCAAATATGAAGAAAAAAATGCATGCAATTGTATAAGAAGATACCTTTTACAAAGGAAAATTATAAAATAATAGTTAACTTGTCCATTTCACTCTGAATTTATTTAAGGTTAAATGTCACAGTGAGAATTAACCCCATCCCACCCAACCTCTCAATCTCAGTATCATAACGATGTATGGATTTAAAGTAAAAAAAGTCGGTCTGGTAAGAAATTGTTTGGTCTGGTAAAAATCTTATTTTTACCAGACATTTTGTCCTGTAAAAATTTTAAACTTTCGCGTAGACTGATCAAATAACTGGCTGGTCTCAAATCATAGCCTGAAGACATTCAAAACTTTGATTCCAATAGGCCCTTTTGCACATATTGCAAAAAAAATCAACCATTGAATTCAGAACAGTTACTCCAGGATGAATGGTTAAGAAGGGGTAGGAAAGTCATGTGCATTTACAAAAAAAATGCATTGATGAGTAATTTTAATGCACTCTATGAACAAAATTAAAGTTAATCATTTGATAAACAAAATGCCTATAAATTTTGTTATAAACTTGAGAAAAAATGAAAACAAACTTAACAAAATATAGACTTGGAAAAGGTACACAGAATTCACCTTTTGTACATTTTATGCCATTTTATTACGTACATGTACTTCATCAAAAAACAGGTCACAACCAGTGCAGATACAAGACAGTCACTCACAGTAATCTGTTCTTTATGCTGATTGGAATGGCTGCAATATTCATAATGTATATATCTCAAAGCATACATAGAAAAAAAATTGTATATAAAGCATACATCTACCAACTTAAGTGATTTCTCGGAAATACAGTTGACCAGGGACATGTTTTGAATTTGAAAGCGCAATTTTATTATTCTATTCGATCAAGAATGTAAACAGTGCTCACAACAAATCCTGAATATTTTTTAGAAACACTATAGGTACAAAAACTTGAGCTGTTGCTAAAATTACAATTTTTTTTTTAATTTCAGACCCTCGGAGAAATGGCAACTACACAGTGCCAAAGAGAGAAAACTAAAGATGTAAGATGTTCAAGAAATGGCATTGAATATATACATGTGTAATGTATGCAGCAATGTAAATGTTTCCCTTTTAATGTACTGTTGCATTGATCTTGAGAGAACAGACCATTCATCATGCATTCAAGGAAAATGGTGTAAAAATCTCAGAAATTATAAGTGTAATTGATCATGTTGATTATGTGAACTGTTTAAAACTGCTTAATTTGAAATACTGTATACAGGGTTATTTTCGCCCCATCTTATTTTCGCCCTTTCACTCTTGCAAACAATTTTGCTCCATTTTAAATTTGCCCAGTCCTAGTTTTGTTTAAGAAGTTAAACTGTATTCTTTGAATTCACCCCGTTTTAAATTTGCCCAAATGAGGGTAGGGCGAAAGGGGTGAAAATAAAACAAGGGCGAAAATTTCCCTGTATACAGTATCATGTTTTCTGTCTGTTGTGTTTGTCTGTAAAGTTTGATATAAGGTTTGAGATAACTTTATTTTAAATTCAAACTTCAAATTTTGGCTATTAAGCTTTAATGACATTTTGATCATTATAATTTCAACAAAATTGTTTACACTTGTTCACAGGTATATATGTAACCATGATTAATTTTGATTTTAGTTGACAGGGATTTTTCCAAATGAGACTGTGACAGAACAGAAGTCCATACTGTTTGTGAAGAAACTTTTGGCTGTGGCAGTTTCAAACATTGCTTACCTAAGAGCCTTGTTTCCAGAGCATGCATTTGGAGATCGTTCAATTGAAGGTACAGATTAATTCCTTACAAGATTTGATAAAATGCTGTACAAATTTTAATTTAAGATGGATATTTATGGTTAGATACCATCATTTGAAAGGATTGGAAAATAAGAACAACAGTGTAATGTTTTTTATACTTTATCATTTTTCTATCAGATATCCAGTGTTTTCCCTAAGAACCGGCTACTGGCCAAATTGACTGCTTCAATTGACAAAAATGCCGCTTTGAAATAAAATTTTGTGGTTAGGTCCACAGAGATTTTGTTCATAAACCTCAGCCCCTAGCCTGTTACAACTTATCTCTAACCCTTTACTTTGAAATAAAGGGAAAACACTGGATATCACATACAATTTTACTTTAATGCTGTTAAGCAACCACCTGTATAGATTTCTCTAGCACGTACTGGCTCTCCCATCAATGAAAGAAACTTAAGTCTTTATACAATAATACAAATTTAAAATCAATAATACAATTTTAATTCTTATTAATTATTATATAATTGTGTATATTAAGTATTTTTTCTGCAACTGGAACTTAAATTCCTGTACTAACAATCAAAGAAAGCATTTTATTGCTTTTAATGCCATATACCTATAATTTCATTCCAATTAGAGTCCAATGACTGCATTTATAATTTTCATCCTATAGACCTACATTTGAAAACTTTGAGAGATGACAGTGCTTGTCCAGGAGTGTGTAAATTCATACAGTATATGAAAGGATGCTTTGATGCCTTGGACAAGAAATATGTAAGTACATGGAAATGTTGTATCAGAACACTACATGTGTATTGTGATTGTATGATTAAAATGTGCTTTACATAAGCTTGGACAAATTTCAAAATTTGTGACTGCATACCATAGCAGAAATAAATTTATACTACATACAAAATGTCTTTAATTTAAATTTAATAGTACAGTAAAACTCGTTAGTACGAACACGGATATTGCGAATTCACGGATAAAGCGAAGTCGATTTGGATCCCCAGCTATATAAATTTAATGAATTTTTTATACGGTTATAACGAATTACGGATATAGCGATGTAATTTCAAAGGTCCCAGCGACTTCGTTATAACCGAGTTTTGCTGTACTACAATGTATTAGCAGAATGTGGAAGATTTTTTTGTTATAATGTATTTTTTAAATTTCAGCTTAGAATACTTATCCTAGGGGTATGTAACTATTATTATCACTTATTTTCTGAATTCCTGAAAGCTCCCTCACTCTCTATATAAGTATAAAAACACCATAATATAAGCTGTTTTCAGTATCCTAGCTCACAATGATGCTACAGATGACAGTTAATTAGGACCCAGTATTAAGTCATCAATGGGCTGAAAGAATTCAGAATTTATTGCTGAAATTCAGATATAATTGGTTTTATTTTGCAACCAAGTCTTCAGTTTAAGGATATAAATTGTACTTCACATAGCATTTTGAAACATGGGTTGTTTTCTCAAAAGTCTCATATCTTTATTTTGAATAAAAGAAATGTTTCTGAAAGAAAAAAAAGTTTATTTGTTATTCGACAATTCGTGATCATTTGTAAAAATAAGTATGGTTCTACATTTCAGCTCTACCGTGATCCAGAAAACCCTGAGGTAAGTTGATTATTTAAGTATTCTGTATATATACTGTAGAAGTACTTTTTTCCGCGTGGTATTCATTTACGCTATGCGCGATCATAAATATTCCGCGGAAATTTGTTCAAGCGTACTTAATATAAAAGTAAGGTATAGAGTGACAATTTAGAAAATCCGTGTAAATTTTCTACCCGCGGATTAAACAGAAATTGAGATTCCGCGGAATTATAACCCCGTGGAAAAAAGTACGTCTACAGTATGTAATGGTTTGGATCATGGATATCAGCCTGGGTAGCTCAGAAGGTAGAGCACCTGACTAGAGATGCAGGGGTGTGGGTTCGATTCCTGGTCCAGCCAAACATTTTCTCCCTTCCTGTCACAGATTTGGTGCTGTTGACCACCCCTTGAATTGCAGGTGAAAGACCTGCCAGGGGGTAATAAGAACTTGGGTTGTGTCTTCAAGGGCAAAGACAATTTAAGGAGGGAGGAATGTAATGGCTTGGGTTGTTGATATTGGCCTGGGTAGTTCAGTTGGTAGAGCACCTGACCAGTGATGCAGGGATCCCGGGTTTGATTCCTGGTCCAACCATACATTTCCTCTCTTCCTGTTACACATATATATAAACCTGTGTAATATTTCTTTATATTCATTTAAGCATTCTTTATTATTAGCTCACCTGAGCCGAAGGCTCAATAAAAATTTGGTGGCATGTTTTAAAAATCTTCTTTTCAAGAACCACTGTGCCAGGAAAGATGAAACTTATATGGAAGCATCCTCAGGTAGTGTAGATTCAAGTTTTTACAAATCATGACCCCCGGGGGTAGGGCGGGACCACAATGGCCTACCAAAGTATTACAGAGAAATATATAGGAAAATTCTTTATTAAAATCTTCTTCTCAAGAACCACTGTGCCAGGAAAGATGAAGCTTATATGGAAGCATCCTCAGGTAGTGTAGATTCAAGTTTGTTCAAATCATGACCCCCGGGGGTAGGGCGGGGCCACAATGGCTGACCAAATTTTACATAGAAATATATAGGAAAATTCTTTAAAAATCTTCTTCTCAAGAACCACTGTGCCAGGAAAGATGAAGCTTATATGGAAGCATCCTCGGGTAGTGTAGATTCAGATTTGTTCAAATCGTGAGCCCGGGGGTAGGTCGGGCCACAATGGCCGGTCAAAATTTTACATAGAAATATATAGGGAAATTTTTAAAAAATCTTCTTCTCAAGAACCACTGGCCAGGAAAGGTGAAACTTATAGGGAAGCATCCTCAGGTAGTTTAGATTCAAATTTGCTCAAATCATGACCCCCCGGGGGTAGGGCGGGGCCAAAATGGCCAACCAAAATTTTACATAGATATATATAGGAAAATTCTTTAAAAATCTTCTTCTCAAGAACAGGTCATAATTGATCATAGTTATATGGAAGTATCCTCAGGTAGTGTAGATTCAAGTTTGTTCAAATCATGACCCCCGGGGGTAGGGCGGGGCCACAATGGCCAATCAAAGTTTAACTTAGAAATATATAGGAAAATTCTCTAAAATCTTCTTCTCAAGAATAGTAAAGCCATAATTGATCATATTTATATGGAAGCATCCTCAGGTTGTGTAGATTCATGTTTGTTCAAATCATGACCCCTGGGGGTAGGGCGGGGCCACAGTGGACGACTAAAGTTTTACATAGAAATATATAGGAAAATTCTTCAAAAAATCTTCTTCTCCAAAATAGAAAAGCTATAATTGATCATATTTTTTATTGAAATCATGCCCCGGGTGGGGGTGGGGGGCAAAATGGACAACTAAAGTTTTACATAGAACTATATAGGAAAATTCTTTAAAATCTTCATCTCAAGAAAATCAAAGCTATAATTGATCTTGTTTATATGGAAGCATTCTCAGGTAGTGTAGATTCAAGTTTGTTCAAATTATAACCCCCGGGGGTAAGGCGGGGCCAAAATGGCTATCCAAAGTTTTACATAGATATATATAGGAAAATTCTTTAAAAATCTTCTTCTCAAGAATAGCAAAGCCATGATTGGTCATGGGACTACTTTAAGATTTAAACTTTTCAATAATAAACCAATTTCTACTTTTTCCTAGCCACAGTGCTCAGATGAGCGATGTGGCCCATGGGCCTCTTGTATAATATTACTTTGAAGGTTGCTGACTGTTTACAGAAATATATGATTGATCAATCATATGAAGAAATCTATATATTTCTGTAAAGAGTCAATAACAAGCTTATTATATATAAATGATTTATTTTCCATCACTTGGATAGAAATAAATAATTTCTTAAAAAAAAAAATTAAAATGGTTAGGTGTCATCTATATTACTAGATAAAAGTGCTCGCCTTCCAGAGGTGCATGTCCACCAAAATATAGTTGTGTCATATGTTTGAACCAATGAAATTGCAAAAATTCAGTTGAAAAATAATACATGTAATACATTTACTTCTTTACATATTGTTTCATATGATGAAGAGGGATAATATTCATGAAAGACTGCATTAATTTTTTTTTGGAATATTTAATTCAACCTTATAAGATCAATCATTTGGTGATGCTACATGTATTTAACTTTCTTTTGTAGACCTTGATTGAATCCTACACATTCAAGTTCAGCTATGCAGATGAGACAGGAGTAGATATCTACAGGTAAGGAAGCAGGTGGATTTTTTTTTTCTGTTTAAGACGTACAGATCTGAAAAGTTTGAGATACAAACTCTTTGAATATGAATTTTAAGTTGAATTATTTTTTTATTTTGAAAACAAGATTTAGGCACTATAACTTTTGTGGGTGGGGGTGGGGTTAAATAAGGAATGAATACACATTGAAGGTAAAAGACAAATTAAAGTAGCTTAAGTATTCTTATTTGGAATAAGTTTGGTTAAAATGGAAAGTGTGTGTCAGTGATAGAAGTATGTACTTTAGATGCTTATCCCTATTTTGTGGGTACAAGACCTGGATGACTATTATGATTTTCATTTCATTTCCCCAGTCATCAAGATGAGTATTTCAAAATGCTAACCTGCAAGGTTGTCCTTCAAAAACAAATAGTTGTAATAGTTCAAAAAATGCAAGTGCTTTATATTTCAGTTTGTTGGTTAATTATAATATATTAACTTAAAAAATATAAATATATTAAGAAATAACCAAAATATATCAAGTGCCAACACTGCGAGTGAAATCAAGAAAGCCACAATTCGCCTCCTTCGCACAATTGTTGTTTTAACACAAACAATGAATGCCATTCCGGAAGACACTATGCTGACCATGAAGTTGCTATATTATGATGATGGTAAGATTTATTTGGACATCTAAATTATATTTTGTTATTTGTATATTGTAAACAAACTATTATTCGCATCACTCATATTCTGATTTGTCAGTTTCAAATCCATCTGAGATGATTAAGTTTTGATACTGAGGAAATATTTTCTACAACGACAAAGGAAATATATGGTTTGCTGCCATTAATATTTGCAAGTTAAAGTAGGTCGCAAAACTTGCAAACATTTCTACACCCGAATAAAAGTCAGTTTACAGTATTACATTGATTGTTTAAAGTAGGGGCTGACAAAGTCTATTACCTGACACCCTAGATGAATTACAGAGGGGGCAGAAATTTTTGCTGGGCACTAACTCTTGGGCAGGTGACCAATAAGTGGACAATTACAGTGATAGTAATAGTGAAAGGCCCACAAAAATCATCTAAGCATACACCGTCTGGAAAAAAAAAGGATTTAATAAAACAATTCTTAACAAATCAACACTGTAAAGTCATGACACAACCTTGCATATTTTACGTACCTACTGAGGGAGTTTTTTTTAACTGCTAGCAATATTCAAAGCAGCAAGGAATATTTCAACCATGCAGTTGTCAGTGGGCAAGTGCTTGAAGAAATCTATATGTCAGCCCATTAAACACATATTTTCTAAGTTGTTCTTTAATTTGTCAATCTAATTTTGTAGTTACCCCTCCAGAATATGAACCCCCTGGATTTAAGCCATCCACATGCACAGATTTCAAATATGAAGAGGAACCTGTGACCATCAATGTTGGAGATGTTGCAACTGTAAGATTTCTCTTGTAAAAGTTGAAGGGTTGTTTAAAGGGATGTCGAAACATTTGACAAATAGAAAACAATACATTTCTAATGCACTGGATTTTCTGCCATGTAAAGAAGGTGTAAAAACAAGTTTTATTCCTAATTGTACATGTAAATATAATTGAAATACTTGATAATAATGGCTTATATATACTTTATTATGCATGTTGCCTATTTTACTAGCCTTTCCACAGGTATGTTTATCTGTTGATATTATATTTTTGCAGATTTTTGTTTATTTTAGAACAAATTTATGTTCATTTCATCTGAGCCAAAGGCTCAATCAAGTGAGCTTTTCTGATGGAAATTTGTCTGACGATTGATTAACTGTTTATTGTATGCACAAGTATAATTATGGAAGTTTGTTTAAAACATTTTTATATATTCGCTATATATGCTTCTCTACAATAGGTACAGTACCAACTTTAACTTAGCTGTCTAAGAGCTTTCTTGGATAAAGCTAATTGGAATTTTATAGTTGAAAGATTGGACGGGCACTCTACCATAATATTTGTTAAAGATATGAAAAAGCTCTGTGTCTTTTAAAAATAGCAGCTTCTGTATATTGGGTAATTTTAGATGCGAGATAGCTGTTGAATAAACAATTTTCATGTGGGTTTCATTTAAGGCATGAAGAGATCTATGAATTCATATCCTCCATGAAATGAAAAATTTCAAATCTTGTATCAGCTCAAACACTTCTCAGGCCAAAATCTATTCCTTATGAACTAGTAGCTTGTCCTAAAACTACAAAAATAGTAATAAATTTGGGGCAACCTAAAAAGAATTTTTTCTTCACCTGTTCATTATTTTTAAAAGAAATGTAAAACATGTGAAAGGAATAGAGTGGTCCATGGGCCTCTTGTTTTATTTATTTCCCACTGAGAATGAAGAACAACTTTTTGTAATGTTAATGCAGAATTATAAAGTCTAAGATTATAGATGCTGTTTATGTTAATTTACACAATTCCTGTATATTACAAATCAGGGCATTTAAATTAAATATAAAATCTACTTTAAAATTCACTATATATACTTTATAAACAAATTGTTTATACGTATATATAACATTTGGATATATAGTGTCAGAAGTAAATTCTGCTGAATAAGGTCCCTATATGTCTTTGCTTAATATCTGTTTTTTACTGTATAAAGTATAAGTCTGCATTTACCAGTAATTTGCAAAAATATTTAATTTTCTTTGCAGATACTTTTCTGAGTCTGGTATCTTATTTCTTTTACAGAATTAAAATGAGGGTGAAAACAAATGAAGCAATGTTTGACATCAAGGAGGAGGAGACAGCTGAGATGAAGACAGAGACTGAAGTTCACACTTTATGTAAAGTAGGCTTCAAACACTGTATTGAGCTAGACATCTAAAGAGCATCAGTTTTTCTTTAGATTCTTGAGCAACAGATAAATGTAGTTGAGAATGTTAATTTACTTCCCAATGAATGAATGCAATTGCCTCAGAGGTCACTAGTTATCTCTCAATTAGATGAATGATTACAATTATCAATAACATATTTTTATGTAGGTAATGTTAGTGTTATTATCATATAATACAATATACATATACAATAACGCAAAGTTAGAATAAACCTTAAGAAACTTGAATTGCACAATTGAATACAAATATTTACCTTAATACATGCAAAGCATTTCTAAATTCTTTCAAGGACACTAAAAAAGATGAGAAGATAAAGAAAGATGAATCACAACCAACTCCAGTGGTCCCAACAGAAAGTCCAGAAATTCCAGGTAGAAGACTGATTAGATACTGACCTACTGAAAATTAGACATCTGAATGTCTGTGCTGATGACCAAGATCTTTCATCTTGTTGAAATTCTCAAAACATCAGACCAGGAAAAAAATGCCAAAAATCATCAAACTGTTTATCATGATGCTTCTAATGGAAGCCATGAGATTTAATTTTCCCTCAGTATTTTGAAGTAAAAATAATTGATTTTAAATTTTAAAGAGTAGTTTAATCTCTAGTGCAGATTTTCTCATTCTTTTTTTTTTTCTGCAATGGACAAACAAATATCAAGTTTTAATGAATTCATACAAATTAAGTCCCGATATTTTTGGCTAATCATAGTGATAAGTGAGCCATTGAGATGTAGAAGTATGAGCTGATGGTTGAGGAAGGTTTATGATTTTCTAATAAATTTTCTTGATTCTCTTTAAGTTGGAAATGCTTGAAGATATTATATAATATGCATGTTTTGTAGGTTCTGATGGTAAAGCAGTTGAAATGCTTGGCTCTGAAATGAGTCAGATGACAGAAACTGAGGAGGAATTTGGGGTCCGATGTCCATGTGGTTGTAATGAGGTCAGTGAATAACAACACTGTGAAGATTGTCTGTATGTATTATAAGAGATTTTGTAACACTCATGTAACATACCATTCTAAATTGTAGGATGATGGACTGATGGTGTTATGTGCCATCTGCAAGTACTGGCAACATGGGCTATGCTTCTGTATCAAGGAGGAATATGAGGCCCCAGAACACCATGTGTGTGATGTCTGTGCTGATGTTAGTATGAAATGACATTTATTCTCTGACAATTAATTTAGCCATATAATGCCATAAAAAGCATGACTTGTAATATGGCAATATACTGTAATTAATGGGAAAAAATGAGATACTTAATCTTATTTTGTTTTCACAGAAAGATGATCCTATAAAGCAGCCAACAGATCCCTATCTGTACAAGCTGAGTCCTATAGCTATTCAGGTGAATACCTCTAACCAGTAATTATAATATGTTATTTATAGAGTTATATCAGTGATGAAAGTCAAATGTGGAATTGCTTTAATACCAGTTAATTGCAATTTCTGATGAATAAATCACTGGTTGATCCTATTACATGTATTTAAATTAAAGTGATAGAGTCGGTATCCATGTTTGTATGTGTGATTCATTTGAGAAATAGGATGGTATTTTAGCCATAAATATGGCAATTATGTAATTCAAAACTAAACTTTTGATCTAATGGGAAAAATGGAAATGAAGTCCATCATAATGCAGTTTGGCAATAATAGCTTCAAGGACCAATACTCAGTGGGCATGAGCAGAACATGGTTCACAGATATAAATTGGATTATGAATAGAATTTTAAGCAGGTTTTATGCACCAGCAACAATAATTTGAATAATGTTTACCTTATAATTGCTACACACATTCATATAAATTAAATATGCAGGTAGTGAGTAAATGCATAGTGGTAACAAGTTATTACACTTTCTATTACTATATTTATTTAGTATTGATCATCCTTATATTGAGGTACCAAAGCAGCCTAACATAATGCCTAGGATGCCCAGGGCTTCCCAACCCTTCTATTTAATTTCTTAAAGTATTCTGTGATTCAACAAAAAATTTCAAAAAGTCCTTTGTTACCCTGTTCTTTGGGCAAAATGATACAGTAAAACTTGGTTATGACAAAGTCACTGGGGCCTTTGAAATTACTTTGCTATATCTGTAATTTGTTATCCGTATAAGGAATTCATTAAATTTATATAGTTGGGAATCCAAAATAATTTCGCTATATTTGTGAATTCACAATATCGGGTTTGTACAAGTTTTGCTGTAGCCCACTTATGCACCTTTTTATTTATCTTAGACAACATGTCTGTACAGAAGAGCTCTGATGGCAGCTACTGAGTCCAGCAGAGTTGTGGCACCAAGTCTGGCTAGAGGCTGGGGGAGTAGAAGTAATATTGCACATGGACTCATTGACAGAATGGAAAAAGAAGGATATGTGAAGAATTCTGGGAAAGG